GGGCCAGGTGTGGTGGCTCCTGCCTGTAATCCTAGCACTCTGGGAGGCCGAGGTGGGAGGATTGCTTGAGGTCACAGGAGTTCAAGACCAGCCTGAGCAGAGTGAGACCCTGTCTCTACTAAAAATAGAAAAAATTAGCTGGGCATGGTGTTCCATGCCTGTAGCCCCAGCTGCTTGGGAGGCTGAGGCATGAGGACCCCTTGAGCCCAGGAGTTTGAGGTTGCTGTGAGCTAGGCTGATGCACTAGATGCACTAGGTACTCCAGTCTGGGCGACAGAGTGAGATTGTCTCAAAATAAAAAAATAAAATAATTTCAAAAGTACATATTGTTTTAAAGATCAAAAAATCAATGAAAAACCAAACCAATACTTTTAGTAACTAACTGGACAGTAATAGAAGCTTGTAGCTAACACAAATGACACTTCTATTAAGAATGAAAGAGTATGAATTATGAATGAAAACCAGAAATCTTACCATATCTTTCTTGCCTTGTGTCTAACATTCTCTGAATATTCTGTTTTTCTTTCCCATTTTCTCTCTTCTTTCTTCCTCTTCTGTACCTATGAAGGGAGGGGGCTGACATGGGCAGGTTGGGCTGCTGTGGCAGGGACCTAGGAGTCAGGGCCTGGTTCCAGAGAGGGGGTCTCACCTAGTGCCATCCCTGAGTGAAAGCAATAGTTCCCTGGACAGACATGTATGTGCAGTTTCCCTGCTCTCCTTCAGGAGAGACTTTTGATGTTTCTCACCAAACCCATGGCCAGTTCAGCCAGTCACCTGCCAGCTCAGTTCACATAAACACGAGCAAGTGGCGGAAGTGAAGTTTTGAGTGATGTTTGTTGTCCTACAGCAGGGCATGCCATGTACTTGTGTTCGCGACCTTTCTCAGGCTGCTGAGCAGAGCTCTGAGGGGATGGCCACAGCAGTGAGATGTCACCGGGGTTTGGATGCTCTCAGGGGCAAGACATATCCTAGAGTCCAGGCCTGCTTTTCCAGATGTGCTTTGCCAAGGGCCTCAGGCTAAGGGACTGTTTGATGGGGTATTTGTATCCTAGGTAAGGGAGCAAAAGTATCCTTAGAGGTCCTTTTATCTCTCCTTTTTCTATCTTTCAACTACGACAAAACACTTTCGGCATCCTGCCAATCATGCTCCCTTTTTTCTTACTGGTAAAGCATAATTTTCAAAAAGTTAAAAGTGTGACTCTCATTGTAAATAGAAAATGTACATAGATCAAAGATTTTATTCAACTCCTTCATTAATGAGGGAACCAGTAAGATGTTAAGACTAGTTCGAAGCAGAATTTGAAGAATAGATACATAGGTATAGATATGAATATTAGGAATGCTGGAGTCAATTTGTTAATAGATACAAAACTGATTAATAGTCTATAGGGAGTATCTCTGTGGACCAAAGTTTATTCGCATTGATTTGGACAACAGTCATCTGCATTACTATCTGTTTTCTACAAGTTACCTTTTAAAGTGGTGGTTTTCTATAGATTCATAGTATATTTATAGGCATCACCACGTTTTCCAAAATATTTTCATCACCTCAATACATAACACATTAAATCATGAATCCCAGGGAAGTATATGCATATTCATAAATTTTTATGAATCAAACCTTATATTTCATCCTCCTTGGTCTAATATCCTAGAATTAATTCCCATACATGATGATCCTCAGCTTCTTCCCAACATACATAGGCAAGATTTCCCATGTCCTGTGCTATATAACCTATTCTATCCTCTCTTCCCTGCTGATCTTGCAATTCTTCTGAGCTTTGCTGGGAGTTTATTCTTGTTATGGTCCTGGAGTCGAGAGGTACAATGGCAATAGGTTTTAAGGAGGAAAGGATTCCACATGGGAGGCAAAGGCCCAATGAAGTCTTGAAAGGACATTGTGTAAGCGAAGGCTAATTTCCTCATACAGGGAGGAGGGCTGCTTCTGCAGGCACGGGAGGCTCGGGGTTTGGGAGTTCGGCTTTGTCTGTGCCTGTCCAGATGCTCCCATCACAAGCCTATGGTCCTGCTCCTACCCAATCACTGTCCTGATCTCAGCAAGAGAACTTGCTGAGGTTGAGCTTTGCAACAATTCTATAAGCTGCACAATTATTAAATACATTTAGGAGCCTTGTCTGTCCCATGGCTATCCCAGGTAAAAGGTTCTTTGAATTGAATTTCAGCATATTTGTACCTTGTGCTGCTTATCTTTTTTTTTTTTCCTTTTGGTAAACTCTTCAGGGCAGTCAGAAACAACCGTCTCACTCTAGGATCTTTACAATTATCCCTGTTGCCATAGCAATCAAGTGCAACAGCAGCAAGAGCCCCCAAAGCCTTGGCCTGCATCTGCCCCTCACCCTACTACCAGTGCTAATTGGAGTAACCCTGCTGCCGCTGCATGCCATGGGTTAGCAGCATCCCCTTTGTTCCCGACGTGTGCACAAACATGTGAGTAACCCAGCCAGAGTTCCATCTTGAAGACTGTGTTTCCTGGGGCCGCTCTTGGAAGGAAGAGAGAGAGGTCAAGGTCCTGGCAGGACACAGAATCTATCTCAGAATGGCTGAAGACCCTTGCTGCTGAACAGCTGTGGGCAGGATTAGGGGAGCAACTGTGTTAGTTTGCTAGGGCAGCCATAACAAAGTAGTGTCTTAAACAACAGAAATTTATTACCTCAGTTCTGGAGGCTGGAAGCGTGAGATCAAGGTGTTGGTTGGGAAGGATCTGTTCCAGGCTTCCCTCCTAGTTTCTGGCAGTTCCTTGGCTTGTAGCTGCATAACTCCGATCTTCACATGGTGTTCTCTGTGAGTGTCTGCCCAAGTTTCCTCTTTTTAAAAGGATACCAGTCATATTGGATTAGGATCCACCCTAATAGCCTCATCTTAACTAATTACATCTGCAATCATCCTATTTCCAAATAAGGTCGCATTCTGAGGGACTGGGGGTTAGAGGACTTCAACATAGGAATTTTGGGGCACACAATTCAACCCACGGTGATTTCAATCCAGGTGATGAGCACTCAGAGCAGAGTGACAGCACCTGTGCTAAACAGTCCCCTCCAGACACCCTAACTCTGCACCTTGCTCCGAGCCTGGGAGACTGACCTCAGCAGACTGCACCCAGAGCCCCCTGACCTTCTGTTGGCTTTTACTTGACTTGGCTAATAAGAGGCACGGGCATTGGTCTAGGAAGGGAGAGAGGTCAGGCCACAGTGGCACAAAGTACCCTTCCCAACCACTTTCATACCCATTTCCATCATTCTGTCCTATTTAATATTTGGCAGATAAGAGCTTAACAATGTTTAAAATATGGGTGTGTATGTGGATTGTTTTGGGAGTTTTTGTACATTTAGTAATAATAGCTGATGTCCTACGTGCTTAAATATAGTGTACCCTGGACAGTTCCTGTAAGGGAGGTACTATGATTATCTCAATTTTATAGTTAACTGAGGCTGAGAGTCTATCTTGCCCAAGGTCAAGGTTGCATAGCTAACTGGCGGCAGCAGTGGGATTTGATCCAGGGCTGTCAGCCTCCAGAGGATGCCCTAAACCACAATGTCATACGTACTGACCCATTTACCAGACATGCCCTCCCCCACTTGACCTGTGTTAAAGCCATATTCACTTTCAAATTCTGGTTGAGCAACAGCTGTTCTGTGGGGCTTTCTCAGTCCGCTCCCCCAAGAATTGACCATGCAGTCGGTGCATCCTCACTGCCCCCTGTGTACACTCCCATTATGATGCCCACTAAGCTTTTCTGTGTCTACCTGTGAGTTCTTTAGGGCAGGCCCATCTCCCACCCTTCTCTGACATTCCAGGGCCTGTGGCAGTCTGTCTGAGAGCAGGAGGTGCCAGTGAATGTTTCTGGAAAGAATATATGTCCTGTTCTTACCAGCCCTGACCACGCTGCATGCTCTGGTGCACCCCAACACTCCCCGCCCCAGTGGTTGACTTCCTTCCTCAGTTTTATGCAGAGGTCATCTGTCAGTGCGCTGCCAGTCCTAGACCACCGCCCCTGCCCGAGGGTGGGTGTTCCTATCCAAGAACCCCGTCCCACAGGGTTCTTGTCTGCCAGGTCTGGTGAGGATTTTTGAGCTGATCCCTTCAGATCCTCTGCAAAAAGGTAGCTTGGCTTTCCTGAAGGAGCTTCACTCAGTTCCTAGGCATCCCCAGGGTGTGTGGAGGATTTACTTTACTCTTCAGTTCTGTCCTAGTTAACAGTCACATTGTATCAGGAATCCCTTTGTCAACCCCTGAGGAATGTTTTGGTGGAGTTTTTCTTTTCCTCCAATGTTGGATTTAACTTCAGCCTCCCTGTGGAGACCGCTTGGAGGCCCTGAGCCTGTTCAAGGCCAGCTCATCACCGCCACATTCTCTGGGTGGCTTTTCTTCTTTATCACCTACTCCGCATTTTCCAATTTTTCTCAGGACAGACGTGACTGGTTTCTGGGTAGAGAACCCACAGGGGTGGCCCTAACATCGGTACCTTCTCTGCTCCTCTGAGGGAGTCCTGAGTGTTGAGTTTGGTCTGGGACCAAACTCTTCAGCAGCTCAGCTGGATCCCTTTTGTGAGAGCTTCAAAGGCGTGCGCTGAGCACTAAAGGACCCTAACACAATTGTTTTTAATTTTTATGCCATTTTTTGGTTATTTGCAAAAAAATTTTGTTATTTTAAACCCAAACTCACTTGGGTTTTCCGGCATTGTGTTCCCCGTAAGACGAATATCCCCGGTGGGGCTACCTGCGGCTGCGAGGACAAGGGGTCCTTTTCCCTGGTCCTTCCCCCGCCTCTCGGGACGAGCGAGGTGCGGGGCACAAGTGCTCCCCCGGGGTCGCTCGCGGAGGCGCGCCCGGGAGCGCGGCGGGGAGGAGGGAGGGGACCTGGCAGCAGGACTGGACTTCCTCCCTCCGCTCCGGAACTGTGCGCGGAGCTGCCGGGACGCGGAAACCCGGGAGGCGCCGCGGGAGCCGGCGGGGGCGGGGCGTGGCGAGGCGGCGGGGGGCGGGGCAGCGGGGCCCGCGGTCGCGGGTGCGCGGGCGAGCTGCGCCCGCTGCGCTCCCCCGGCTCTCCGAGCGCTGGGCACGGGCCGGGCTGCGGTCCCCGCGCGCGCAGCAGCCGTCGCCGCCTCTTCTCGAGCGGGCTCGGCCCGGCGCGGCTGGCGGCCGGGGCGATGTGAGCCGGGGCCCGCGGGCGCGGCCGGACCGCCGCGATGTGGCTCAAGCCCGAGGAGGTGCTGCTGAAGAACGCCCTGAAGCTCTGGGTGACCCAGAAGAGCAGCTGCTACTTCATCCTGCAGCGGCGCCGCGGGCACGGCGAGGGGGGCGGCCGCCTCACCGGTAAGGGGCGCGCCGGGGCGGGCGGGCGCAGCGGCCGGGCCGGGCCTCTCTCCCCGCCGGGCCCGAGGCCCCCAGCCCGGGGCTGCGTCGCAGGTGGCGATTTCTTGGGGGGCCAGGACGGCCCTGTCTAGGGCTTGTTTTCCTTTCTCCTGCAATTCTCTTGCGAGTTCCCGTCGAGGTTGTAGCGGAGGGACTCGCGGGCTGGTGTATTTTCCCTGGCGAGGCAGGTGCCTTCGCCACCTGGCCGGGCGAGCACCTGGAGGCCAGATTTGGCTCGGGAATCGAAGGAGAAACACCGGCTGACGAGTCATTGGAGCGAGCCGGGCCGCTCCGAGAGGAGCGAGGAGCGCGGGCTGCTAAGCGGGGCCAGGTGACAGCGGGGTGCGCCCGGGCTGGGCTGGGCTGGCCCCAGGCCATCTGGATGCGCCTGAGGCTCCAGGTGGTGTAGCGGCTGGGGACACGCGGCCAGTCCACGGCCGGGCACAGCTCGGGAGGTCCCGGGGATCAGCGACGGTCTGGCGTGTGGGCCTGGGACTGTCTCCGCGCCCTAAGGGAAACCGAGGCAGTGCGAATCCCAAGCTCCTGATGTTAGTAGCAAAATCGAGCAAGTCAGTTTTTACCTCTGCTTCCAGTGTCTTCCAAGGAATGTTAGGAAAACAACTCAAGCTTGTGAAGTTGATGAAGAAGAAAGCATTTTTTTTCTCTAAAAGTTATGATTGAAAGCTCTTTGAAATCGAGGCCAGCTTGCGTTATCTGAAACACCTGTTTAAGACACCTGTTTAAACAGGTCGGCGAAGGGACAATTAACCATTTTCACCTGTATCTACGGGGCCTATATCAAATTTCCCAATTTTAGAATCTGGATTAAAGGGACCTTACATCTTCCTGTGTCGTCCCTCGTTCTACTGAGAAGACAGAGGCCAGCTAAGGTCAAAGGACGAAGATCCCCATATTAATTGTTGGCGACTTTTTCTGCTCTCTGGCCAGTGTGGGGAAGGCCCTTCCTAAGGCGGAGTCTGGCGGGAACCCTATCAATGTGCCCCGAAACTACAGAACCAAGTGCAAAGGGAATTGCCTTTGCTGGACTTTAGCCTCTGAGAAAACTGGCTGTTGGGTTTGTTAGAGGAGAGAGGACTTCACTGAGACCCAGGGAGTGGAGGTTCTGGGTGGAGGGCACAGGTAGGGTAACTGGGTGACCAGTTGTCCTAGTGGCGGGGACAGCTTGGGCAGCTTGTGCACCTGCTATAGGAGTTGTCTTGAGCTTGGAGGGAGGGAATTAGTGTAGGACCAGGGGGCTGTAGGGTCCTTGGGCTCAGTGGTGACCTGGGCTCTGGGGAATGGAGGTTGGTGTTACCCTGTGAGGGACATCCAAGGCAAAGGGGTTGGAGAGGGTTTTGTGTTTTGTCCCCCTGTTCTTTTTTTTTTTTTTTTTTTGGAGACAGTCTTGCTCTGTTGTCCGGGCTAGAGTGCTGTGGCGTCAGCCTAGCTCACAGCAACTCAAGGGCTCAAGCAATCCTTCTGCCTCAGCCTCCTGAGTGCCTGGGACTACAGGCATGCGCCACCATGCCCAGCTAATTTTTTCTGTATATATTTTTAGTTCCAGCTACTTTCTTTTTATTTTTAGTAGACAGGGTCTCACTCTTGCTCAGGCTGGTCTCGAACTCCTGAGTTCAAACGATCCACCTGCCTTGGCCTCCGAAAGTGCTAGGATTACAGGCGTGAGCCACCACGCCTGGCCTGTCCCTGCATTCTTTGAGGGTGGTGTATTTTAAGTTATGATGTGTGAAGCAGAGTTCCTCATCTATAATGGTCTATAGTAGGGAGTGAGGACAGGACGTGAAGATTTGTGAAGAACGAACCACGAGGACAGTTTATCTGGCAAATGTTTTTGTTCATTCACTAAATTCCGTGCACACTGTGTGGGAGGTTCCCTGCAGCTGCTGTGGGAAAGACTCTTAAGAGCAGAGGTGAGGCCTGCTACCTTCAGGGTGTTCACCATCTAGCAGGGGACATGGGCGTATACGATGTGCTAGGCACCCTCATATAACACACAATTTAGTAGGGGGAAACAAGAAAATAAACAAGTATATAGTATATTGGAAAGTAAGAAAGAATTATGAAGAAAAATAAAACTGATGATGAGTGTAGCGTGTGTGTGCGTGACTCTAAGGACGAAGCTGCCCGTATGATTCCTGGTCGAGCTTCAGGCCCATGTTCCTTCAGGAGAATTTCTGACTCTTTTGTCCAGAGTCTGTCTGCAATGAGCTCAACATGATGTGGTCCCCTCTCTGTTGCAGTCCAAAAACAAGCAGGTCTCATGTTGTCGTTGCACCAGTGGCTTTGGTGTGCCTTGGTATTCAGAATACTTTGATTTGGGCTTACTGTGAATGTGCACAATTTTCTTCTTAAAGGCACCAAGATCAACCAAAAAAAAGGGGGAGAAAGCCCACAGAAAGACAGAGGACACCGTGTTGATTGTGAAAGGATAACATCTCTTCTGCAGCTTTATGCTTCACCTTCAGGCATTTGGCTGGGAAGCAGGTGGCCTGGCTGTGCCGATTGAGCAGCTATGACTTAACACATCCCCAGTCGGGCTAGTCTTCACGGGGCCACTTAGGAATGCTGTAAAGTCCAGACCCATGGGGCACAGACGGCAGTTCCATGGTGGTGTCAGTTTTCTAAAAAAATGTAGAATTCTAATTTGGGAGATTTTTTTTTAGCAATTTAAGAATTTAAAACTTAGATTGAGTTTATTTATGAAAATAATGGGGGGGTAAATGGATAGATGTTCTGGCTAGTTCTAAACTTTTGTTTGGAAGGAGGCAAGCAGAGGTGGCCTAAGAGGGATTGGAAATAAAATGTAAGAGAGCAGAAATTAAAATATGTCTCTTTTCTTTTAATGTGATGCTGAATTTGCTATTAGATAGGAGTTTAAACATAGGAGTTCTGGTGGTTAAAGTAGTCTGAACTGCCCAACCTCAGAAATACAAGCTTTTGTTTCATTGAGGATTATAATTTGCTCTGCTACTTACACACACACACTCTCTCTGCCCCATGCCCATCTCCAGTTTTATTTTTCTTCATAATTCTTTCTTTCTAATATACAATGTCCTAGTATGTTTTCTTCATTGTTTCCCCCTACTAAATTGCAGTGTTCTATGAGGGTGCCTTGCACATAATATATGCCCAGGAAACATTTCTAGGATGAATAGATGGATGACTTACATGCATGAATGATGGATCCCACTTTTTTCTTAAAAGGTGGGTGGGGAAAGAGGCCCAACTTTTCAGACTGAGGCTGAGCTGATTGCCTGGAACAGAAGCATCCCTGTGTCTCTCGGCTTCCTGTTTACCTGGCAGTCCTCACCCCTGTGGAAAGTTGGAGTGGGGGGGTGAGTGGGAAACACAGTCCTCTTCCTCTGGTCCTTTTTTGTAGCTCCGTCTTTTGAGAGAGAGGATTATGGCACTGACTTTGCAGTTGGCCAGAAAGGGCAGGCACAGATGTGACCAACTGTTACCACCTCCTGGGCTCTGGGTAGTACTGGGACATGGCCACCTTTTCCTCAGGGTAGAACATGGTGTAGCAGAATTCAGTGTTGCGAGGTGTTTCCAAAGCTCTGCTGACAGAAGTGATTTTGCTGAGCTGGAAGGGAAGTAAACTTATACAGTGTTCACTTTGTTACAGTCTCCAGCCCATGGGAATATTTCTTATAAAAGTTCAGGCTGCTCTGGGAGAACAAAGAGTGGAGAAGTTAGCATGTGGGAGGCAGTGCATAGAACGCAGTTCTCTGAAGCACTCAAAGTTGAGTGGGTTAATAAGGAGCTTAGCAGCAGAAAAAGTAATAACCTGATTGAAAAGTAGGCTTTAATAGATATTTCTCAAAAGAAGACATACAAATGGCCAACAGGTATATGGAAAATGCTCAACATCACTAATTATCAGGGAAATGCAAATGAAAACTATGAGATGCCACCTCACTCCAGTGAGAATGGTTATTGCCAAAAAGACAAAAGAAGACAAGTGTTGGTGCGGATGTGGGCGAAAAGGGAAGACTTACACACTGTTGGTGGGATTGTAAATTCGAACAGCTATTATAGAAAACAGTGCGGAGCTTCCTCAAAAACTTATTAACATAAACTATCATATGATCCAGCAGTCCTTCTATTGTGTATGAACGGAATGAAATCAGTATGTTGAAGAGATGTCTGCACTCTCATGTTTATTGTAACATTATTTATAATAGCCAAGATGCAGAATCATATATAAAAGTGTCCCACAACAGAAAAATGGGTAAAGAAATGTGTATATACACAATGGAATACTATTAAGCGGTAAAAAGAATGAAATCCTGTCATTTGCAACAACATGGATGAATCTAGAGACATTGTGTTAAGTGGAAGAAGCCGGACACAGAAAGACAAATACCACCTGATCTCACTCCTATGTGCAATCTAAAGGGAAAGAAAGGTGCTATCATAGAAGCAGGGAGTAGAACAGTGGTTAGGAGAGACTGGGGAGGGAAAAGGAGAGGGGAGGATGGGGAGAGATTGATTGGTCAATGGGTACAAAGTTACAATTAGGAGGAATAATTTCTGGTGTTTTATTGCACAATAGGGTGACTATGGTTAGTAGGAAGGTATTGTATATTACAAAATACCTAGAAGGGAGGCTTTTGAATGTTCTCACCACAAAGGAATGATAAAGGCATGAGGTGAGGTATATGCTAATGATCCTGATCGGATCATTATTCAGCATATATGTATCAAAACATCAAATGGTACCCCATAAATATGTATAATTACATATTTGTTAATTAAATCTTTAAGGGCTGATAATATGTATAAATACATGTGTCAATTAAAAAAAAGCTAGTGAAATAAATGTAACTCAAAAGACCAAATATCACCACCCAGATGTACCCTCTGAAGGATTTTATTCTTCTGTGTTTTATTTATATGCATTCCTGGATAATCTTATAATTCTTTTCCCAAAGAGGCTG